AATTGAGCAGCGTATGATGTCACCAATGGAAAAACGCTTCCAGGAAATCCAAGATGGGATGGAAGGAATTGTTACCCAACTAAAGGAACTAAGCAAAGATCAACATGTTCACCAACCAGTTATACCTTGTCCTGATAAAGAGGTAGATCGTGATGGAAATTTTGGTGTGAAAACTACAAAATCAAGGAGGGAGAGTATGGGACGAGGGTTTGGATTGGATTGATCGAGCCGAGGATATTTTGGTCGAGAAAGACATGGCGTAGATCAAAATCGTAGCTCAATGAAGTTTATTATACCACCCTTTCAAGGTAAGAGCGATCCCGAGGCGTACATTCAACGGGAAAGAAAGGTTGAACACGTATTCGATTGTGATTACTATTCAGAAACGAAGAAAGTGAAGCTCGTCTTCGAAGCTTTCATTGACTATGCAATTAGTTGGTGGGACCAATTTGTCTTAACTAGGCGGCGTTGTGGCGAACCACCAATTGAAGATTGGGAGTCCATGAATGCAGCTATGAGAAGGAGGTTCGTTCCTTCCCACTATTATAGGGAATTGAAGATGCGGAGCTTGAGGCAAGTTACTAGGTTAGAAGAAAGGAGTTCATCGATTTGGGAATTACATAGGAGATCTTCAACGAGCCAAACGAGAGAACCATTACGAAAGCTCAAAGCAGAGGAAATTCTACGAGACAAAGGAGACCACGAGGAATTGAAGAGAAAGGGTGTTTCTTTATCGCCACTTGAAAATGAAGGTACTCGTCAAGCTTTTAAGAAAGAAAACACTCAAACTGATTTAGAAGTTATTGATGCGCTATTTGAGGAAGAAATAAGTGAGAATGTTGAGGTCGAGTCCAAGGGGGAAGAAAATTGCAAACCAGCTCCACCAATTGAAGAAAAAGAAGGTTCGGATTCGAGGGCAAATCCTTTTGAAGAGGTGGAGAATGATATGATCTAGCCATGCATCGAAGTTAATGCCGAGCTAAACAAAATGCAAACTCTCATTGTGAATGTTGATGAGATGGCGGTGACTAGAGAGATGCTTCATTCATTCTCTATAGAAATTAAAAGTTTGACGCATTGGAACTTCAAGCTACAAAATACTCACGTTCATATCCCCTTCAATGGCTGTTTGATGGTGTGTTCGGCGATGTGGTGCAGAGGTGAGTAAGTTCGCTACCGAACAGAGAGATCGATCTTGTTTACACTCCTTGTGATATTTGTCCGGATTCGAGGACGAATCCTTTTAAAGAAGGGGAGTATGATACAATCCTGATAAGATCCAAGACGAAGAATTGGAAGACGCGAAAGCGTACGAGTTTAAAGACATTATTCGAGCTGTCTTTGGAGGGTAAAGGGTTGAATAAGACCATTGAAGAGTTCATGGTTTGAATTGGAAGAAAAGGAAAAGGAAATTCGTTGGCCAAGTCGAATTTCATGCATCCCGAAAGTTTCATATGATTCTGACAGAGCTTACCATTCGGGTTATAACTCTCTCATATTACGTCCAATTTAGGTGATTCAAATTACTACGGAAAGCCAACGGGAAGTTCTACAACTTTTATATTTTGAGCGGAGAGAGAATCAAAGTGTAACAGTGTCGTAATTGAGCTTGAAGTTCATGCACGTGCACAGCCAATTGTCTGCCCGAGTTTAGAAGGGTGATCGAGAAATCGACTTGAAGATCAAGTTATCTAATTTATTTATGCACGTTTTAATATTAGGATTTAATATATTTTATATTATTTTAGAGTTATTAATGGTTAGGATTTGCTTATTTATTTATTTCCTTATTATAATTTAGGTAGGAGTCTTGTTCCTTGTGATAAGGGAGTCTTTTTAGACCTTATAAATAGGTTGCCAATTTGGCTTATTTTAATGGACTAATTTTTATGATATTTTGAGTATTTGGTGAGATTAATTCTCCTTCGCTGTTCTACAACAATCTTTGGGATTTTGCAAGTGGATTCTTGTAATTTTCTTAGCGACATAATATTGGTTTCTGGTTCTTTATAACCACGGGGTCAGTATTCCACCTTGATAATAATGGTTTCTAGCTCTTTATTGCTATGAGGTCATTATTCCTTGCTTCCGCCAATCTGAATCCTTTGTTTTTGGATGTCTTCGATCTTATTTCCGCGTAAGGTATTGGGTCCCGTAACAAGTTCTACGGTGTTTGTATCACCATGTCTCTCTCTCGCCACCACTGCACTCCACGGTTGAGGGAGTTGGTGGCCATGGTGGCGACTATGGCGGTGGAGACTGCGGCATAAGGGAGGAGACGGTTATGATAATGGCGATTAGAGAATGTGGTTTGAGGTTAGATCGATGGTGGGAGGCGGCATCTGTGGAGGCTAGGGTTGATTCCGTGGGCTGCAGCTCTGGCGGCCAGGGTTAATTTGGTGAGCAACAAAGAGGATGGCAATGGTTGGGCGGCGGCGCTCAGGGTGGAAGATGGCATTGACGTCGAGGCGATGCTAGAGTGGGGGATGGCGATTATGGCGTGGGTGGAGTGGGTGGCCTTGGTGTCACCGGTGGCGTGCTTGGACTTGGCAGCATTAGTGGGGTGGTTGGCATCCATGGCGCAATATGGTTGTGGCAGAGATGGAGTAGTGGTGGTGTTGGAGCGAATATAAGATTTTTTCGATTGGATGTCACTGGACGTCTATGAGTGACTACTAGTGCTTGCGGCTAGGGTTGAAGACGGAGCTAGTATTTTAAGGATATGTGATTACAGATGACTGTGGTGACTACGGTTTGCTACGCTTTCCTACGGGGTGTCTATAGATGACTACGGCATATTTTTTTCTTTATAATTTTCGATATTATGTAGAAAAAAAGGAAAAAAAATTGATTTTATAATACTGAAAAAATATAAAAATGAAAAAGAAAGAGAGAGACGTTTTCTACGTAAAAAGAAATAATAATAATAACAAAAATGTTAGATGCAGAAATATGAAATACATTGTAGGTGACTTTATAGTTAAAAACCTCTTGGATTGCGATCATAGGACTCGCCGGGCTTAATAAACCCGACCGGGATATCCTGAACAAATTTGTACAATAGTAGCACACGGTCCGGTATGTATGGCTTAATCACATCCATGAGTTGGATCGTGCCGTGAAATAGTGATGAGACACGCGACGATGCATATTCCTCTCATATGGCGTCCAATCAACCTAAAATAAAATATTTACAAACTAATTAAAAATAAAAATATAACAAAATAGCATGTATTTAACTTTTTTGATTTGAAAAGATTTTATGCCATCCAAAAGCTTTAGATGATACAATGGTGGTAGGTTGGATCCTTTAGGGGGCCCTATCATGTAATTCTTTGTGTTTCGAGTAACTCTTTATTCGATTGTAGACTTGTTCCAAATATCCAAATTTAGATTAAAATATATATTGATCTCAATAATAGTTCATATCGTTCACGTCAAACGAATCATGATTGGCGCCCAACAACTACATGTCATGATTCTCTAGTTACAAATAAAGTGTCTGCAAGAACCTTTAACTTATATTTGACGTACGGTACAGTCCATTTGAAAAACATCATATGTTCTGGTCAAACTAGAGGTATTGGTCCATCGAGATATTTAATATTGTTCGATAATTGTGTGAACGTTCTACAGCTACATAGTCCTTTCGTGTGTGATTCAAATAAATTATTTTCTCTAATTACCACTCTTTCTACTTCGGCCAAACATTTCTTGGACTATATACTGAACGAATATAGATGATATCCATGCAATTAAGCAAGCTGTCAAATCCATAACTACAATACACAAACTCCCACTAAATTTTGGGACTATGCGAAGTTGGCCCTTGGAGCTTATTCGATGGAACTCGGGGACATGTCACAACACAGTCGATCCTCTAGTAAGTCGCAGTGATGCATTAGGTTCTACAGACTAATGGTGTACAACTATAATCGTAGAATTTCTACTCGATTGTTGGAGACCACTTATAGATTCTATGTTGGTAGAATATATAGGATTTGGTGTGAAAAAAGTGAATGGAAAGGAGATAAAAAGAAAAAAAAAAAAAAAAAAAAGGGTTATTAGAGACCCTAAACATTTGACTACATTAAGGTGGACTCAGTCATTTTTTTAATATTAGTGAGACAACCACCACCCCCCCCCCCCCCCCCCCCCCCCCCGGATTTATTAAAAAAAAATAATTAAAATTGTGCTTGACATGACTAATATATTCCTGAATAATTAAATCTCTTTAAATTTGTCATATATAAAACAAGCAAACCCTATTTTCACATTCTCTTTATTTCTCTTCTCCCCTCTCTCTCATTTCTCTCTCCAGCCGCCACCTCCATCTCCTTCCACGTCTGTGCCGCAACCGCCTCCACCTCTTCCACGACATCAGCCTATGGCCCTTGATATCGCCGATTGGATTGAATATCAAGAGGATGAGGGAGTTCGGTAGCCGGTCGAAGTGGTCGACTGACTCACGGTGGATTTTTCTACCTAGGTCTACCCGAATCGAACTCATTTATAGCAACAATTAACAATTCTCTGCAAGTAACTCAGCTATGTATTTTCTGTAATTTTACTATGAAATTTGTGTTAATTAGACAGCTTAGAAAATTTATTTGCATAGCTTAGTGACACAATTTTTTTTTAAGATAAGCTGAAGAAAACAATTTAAATCTCAGATGCATCCATCACCACCAACATTACTATTTGCCATCACTAAATAATTTTTCATATTTTTCTTTTTTGGTTTACATGATTATTAGGTTACAGTAAAGGAGGAGTATAACCAAAATCGTATGAGTGCGTATGTGTGTACGTAGGTGTGTGATACGTACGTGTACCTGTGTGGCAGAGTTTCGACGATGCCCGTTGTGGGAACTGAGATGGAACAAATTTGATAGAGTGCAGTAGGTTTGGACGGATCTAATGGAGTGCAGCTAGTTAGACGGGATGAAGGCGTGACTAAAAAAAAAGATGAGTTTCAGCAAATTACAAAAATTGGAATATTCTGATCCGAAAAAGTATTAGTGCACATGGGTGTTTAGCAAATTGCCCCTAAAGTTTTACAAATCACGTGGATCTAATCCTCGTTAAAAAACGGTTACAATTAAAATTGTTATATCTTTTACGTTTACAAGTTACAACAAAAAAAAAAGGAACATTTCATAGTTTTGATGCGTCTTAAAAGCTGATGGTTTTAACAGATATATAAAAGTTCAACAAAAGCAAAGACAAATAAACGAAAAAATTAACTCTAATCCTCCTCTAGATTGATCGAATCCTTAAATTTAGCATAGAGAATCTTCTTCAACGCAGCCATTTGAGCAACTATTGTTTCCTTCTCCTCTTCGAGTTTCTCCAAATTCTTGCTGGTTACCTTTTGCAACTCTTCAATCCTGCTTTCCACTTCGTCTTTCGGAACATGGGCAAACACCTCTCCTATTTGGAATCGAACAATCTCTTCGTCCGTAAGAATCAACTCATTGCTTGCATCTTCGAGATTTTCATTCGTTTCCTGCTCAAAATTCTCCTTCAATTGTAAAATTGGACAAGAGAAGCACAGGTTTTTGATATGATATGATACACAGAATGCCTAAAACGAGTATGATTAGAATTATTTCAATACAATTTATTAAATCAAATGCATCTTTCTTTTTAACAAAGACAGTCGACATAGATGCAACAAAAGTTCGAAACTTGAAAAAAATACATATATACAGCTAAAAAGAGAGAACTGAAAGAAAATACAGATGTTGGCCAATACCCAAATCGCACAATGACCGGCCACTATATATTGAATACTTTATTATCTGAAAAAGGAAAACCAGTCTTTTCAAAGAACAGGAATATAAAGAGAGGTAATTCTTTCTGTAGCTTGGTAACAAATCAAAAATACAAATTTATATTTCAAAATCTGAAGCGCTTATATCAATTTCATAATTCTCGAGTGGGTAACAACGGGATGTACTGGATATTTTCTTCATTAGTTAGAACTTAGAAAGACATTGACAGTTTGCAAAAACAGAACAAACAAGGCTAATTGTATAGTCAAACAATCTACATTGTTATCTTGTCATCGGAAATGCTAATCCGTCTGGAAGGAAGTCCTAGCAGAAATTATAAGACTCACTTAAATTACACAAAAGGAAAAGATTATATGTTGACGACTCTCCCACCACCATGCATAACATGCAACACCAAAAATATCTTCTCGGCGATATGATTTTCATACAAACAGAAAATAAATCAAATGAGGTAGGGTTACACAAGGCTACCGTAATAATGCCTCAAGTCCGAGGATTAATCATGTACTCGAGATCCTTATTTCGGAAAATAATTTTCCTGTGTCTGTATCTCATGTGTTTCAGTTTGGTAAGTTTGTTGTCCACGAAGACAAAAAAAAATTCCTTATTTTGGCAATAAGTGTATGACAATGACAAAAATAATTGATTCTTTCTGAGATATGATAATAGTTTCATTCAGTATCTTTATCTACATAGAAATAAACTCAAACACGATTAACTGATATCTCATTCGAGTTGTCATCTCTTAAATTTTAAGTCTGAACCTATTCAAATCTTGAAGGCATAAACTACGACCATGGAAAAAAACCAAAAAAAAATTAAATTAAATAAAAATTGCACCTTATACTAGAAGCTCCTTGCAATCGATTTACCGTATCTATATAGTCTAAGGTGGTGTTTGAAAAGATTTTAACAAAAGTAGAAGTTAGTGATTGTGAATTGCATGTGTTTGCAAAGAACTTTTATTATCAGCTTATTCTTGTCAAATGACTTAAATGCCTTGATAAAGTAAACAAACAAATAGCAAATGTACTTTACTCATAACCGGTATAACGTGTTTGTAATTCGATTGATTTACCATTTATGTATCCTATTTTTCACTACATTCATGATTCCTTTTACTAAAATTACAGCTTGGTTTAAGGAGGTCCTTTTAAAAGATAAAATATTAACTTATAACATTCAAACTACTTGTTAAGATTTAAATAAAATTTTATAAACAATTACTTGGGAAAAAAACACAGCTAAGTATCAGTCTTGTATTAGGATTTTACATAAATAAAGATAAGGTGTAATAAAGGTCAAATGAATTTAAAGGAAAAAAAAAGGCACAAATGTTCGATGTAGCTTTCAATTATTTGCAGAAGTACCATGAAACAGGAAAAAGCTAGTCCCTGTGTGCTTTTGGTATTATAGTGTAAAACCGATCGGATTTGAAATGACTCTAAATGGGAAGAGATATGAAATCGACCAAAATTGTACAAAAAAAACAACTACAAAGATTTGTTAATCGGATTTAAAACCCATTGTCAAATGACTCGGTCCAAACAATCCCAATGGATTTGTTATTACGGATTTGAATCCTTCCATCAAATCTTCAGATCCAAATGCACTCTAAGAGAAGCAAAAGCAAAAAAAAAAAAAAAAAAAAAAAAGGTTTTGCAAACACTGAAAAAACATCTGAGCCAAAAAAGCTCGTGAGTTGTTTTAAAAACTTTTTTGCAAAATACCAACTAAACCAAAACCTATTTGTTGAAATATAAAATCGAACATTCATCATCTAAACTCTGCCTATTATACATTTTCCAAAGTAATTAGAATGGATTGTGATCTCTCTTATCTCATAAAACCTCGAAAACACGAAAGTCTATGTAATTGACAGCCACTAAGATGCTACATAGCCCCACACACACACACATTATAAATTATTCATTTTCTGATATGGGCAAGTTATAAATTATTCATTTTTTTCCTACTATCACTCACTACTACTAATAATCCATTCCAGTTAAATCACTACAACTACTAATTCTTTTACAATTTTTATTTTCCAAACAATATCAAGTTATGAAATCAAGCGGTGTAAAACAACACATTAAAAAGTAAATTTTTAATATTTTATTTACCTTGGCAGTCTTGATTTCATCGTCTAAATCGTGAAGGCGATTGTTCAATCTGCCAAACTTGTTGATATTCTGCTGATCTTCCCACGTCACTTCAGTCTCCGACGCAGATGATCCGGCCTTCATTTCCACACACAAAAGCCCCAAAAAAAAAAACAAACAAATTAAACTCAATACATAAAACCAAACTACATTGTTTGATGTGTGTGTTTGATTTTGACGCACCTGCTGCATTGATTTCGAAATTGAGGGATGAAAAGCAGAGAGGGTTTAGAGGAGTGAAGAGAAATCGAGGGAATTGAACTTTTGTGCCGAAGGAGAAGAATAAATCGAATTTTTTTAGTAGGCACCCTAAATAATGGTCAAATTTTGGGGCAACTCAGCAAAGCCGCTCGGTGAACGAGTAACTCGAACTCGAGCCCAATCTAAAGATCACACCCAAAAATATTCTCTCGACAGTGGGGTCAACATGTCACATACCTAATTTGCTCTCTCCTTAAAAGTGGGATCCACATTTAACACTCCCTAAGAGCAACTCCAATGGAGAGACATCAAAATGGAGCATTAAACATTCATTTGATACTTGATATAATACTTTGATACCTCTAGAAAAAAAATTCACTCCAACCAAAAGTATCAAATAGATTATCAAATTTTAAATACATGTATAATTATATTATTCAATGCCACGTGTCAAATAGTGGTAGGTTAATGGAGTGGTTACATTTTTGATACCTCATTTTCCAGGGAGTATTTTTTACATCTCGTGGTGGTTGAATATCAAAATAGTTCTCAGTTTAATGTCTCCCTTGGAGGAGATTTTTTTAATTTTGGAGCATCAAAGTGGTAGTTTTTTAATTTGATACCCCATTTAGTAACTCCATTGGAGTTGCTCTAAAAGAAGTGCTCTAGTACTACATATTTATATTCTTTAAAAATTGACTACACATGTTAAACAACAATATTCATGAATCAATATAGGGTCCTAAGATATATAAGTCCCTGGTGACAAATCTTATTAGAACTAAATGACAAATCTAAATAAAATTTGCTTCACATCCTTTATTAAAGTACATTCCGAAAAACCCCTCCACTCATAAATTCAAAATTACAACAGATTGTAAATATACTCTCATGAACTATGGTATTATTTGACATTTTTAAGTTTGCATCCAACATTTATTTTTTATTTTTACGTGGAACACGTTTTTTTTTTCTTTATTCGTATTTTTTCATTATGTAAAAATCTATTTTTTTCCCTTCTTTTCTATATATATTAAAAATTGTTATAAAATATTTTACAAACCCTTGAAACATAATCACATGACGAGATCATGTGTCACATGTAAAGAAGTAATTCTATTGGCGGAAGTATATGGTGTGAAAGTCCACCTGTCATAATACTCCTTCTTGGACGTAACACCATGTGCATAAGCTGCCTCGTTAAAAACCTTTGATGGAAAACTCAATGGGACAAAATCAGTCATAAGGGAAAAAGAGTGCAGCGCACCATTGCTCCTCCGGAAATCAACAATACAAACTTCTGGGGTGAGCTATCAATCTTGCTTCATATTGGCTCTTCTAATTCCAATGTTGTATACCAATTTTTCAAATGTAGAAGTTGGTAAGGACTTGGTAAATAAATCAGCAAGATTGTCACACGAGCGAATTTGTTGGACATCGATCTCTCCATTCTTCTGAAGCTCATGTGTATGAAAAAACTTTGGTGATATATGTTTGGTCCTATCACCCTTTATATATCCGCCCTTTGTTTGTGCTATACAAGCAGCATTATCTTCGTAAATGACAGTGGGCGAATTTGTAACTGGATTCAATTGGCAGGAATTTCGTATAGCAAAGTAACCGATCGTAGCCAAACAGATTATCTGACTGCCTCATAAATGGCTATTATTTCAGAATGATTTGAGGAGGTGGCCACCAATGTCTGTTTGGTAGATCGCCAAGATATACCTACACCATTATAATAAAACAAATATCCAGTTTGTGAGCGAGCTTTGTGGGATCAGATATATCTCCCGCATCGGCATAACCAACTAACCCTTGGTTAGTTGCATTTTTCGAATAAAATAATCTCAAATCTGCAGTACCACAAAGATATCTAAAAATATGTTTAACAGCATTCGAGTGTCTCCGGGTAGGCTCAGAACTGTATCGTGCAATCACATTTACCGCAAAAGCGATATTAGGTCGAGTGCATTGTGCTAAATACATAAATGCTCCGATTGTATTGAGATATGGCACTTCAGGGCCAAGTATCTCTTCATTACATTCTTTAGGTCTGAACGGATCCTTTTCAGGATGTAAATTGCGCACCACCATAAGGGTGCTCAATGGATTAGCATTTTCCATATTAAATCTTTTGAGCAATCGTTTAGTATATGCAGATTGGTGTATAAGTATGCCGTTATTTCTATGCTCAAGCTCTATTCCAAGACAAAGTTTGGTTTTTCCAAGGTCCTTGACCTCAAACTCTTTCTTTAGATATTCATCAGCATTGGCCAATTCTTCAGGAGGGCCAATGAGGTTTCATGTCATCAACATAAACCGCAATAATAGCAAATCCGCTATTTGATATTTTGATAAAAACGCATGGATGAATAGGATCATTTTTATAACATTCCCTGATAAGGTATTCACTCAATCTATGATACCACATGCGACCGGATTGCTTTAGACCATATAATGATCTTTGTAATTTGATTGAATGCAGCTCACGGAGAGCGCCATAGTTTGGCATTTTAAAACTATCGGGAATTTTCCTATAAATATCAGAATCTAGTGAACCATATAAATAGGCCGTTACGACGTCCATCAGACGCATGTCCAGTCCCTCTTGGACGACCATATTTATAAGAAAACGGAAAGTGATTGTTGTTGGGAATCGGACACGTGTACGCAGCTATTAAAACAAAAATTTTATGCGATTTAAACAAATTTAAAACACATAAACACATGCCCGATAATTGGAAACAATTAATTGCGTACCTTTGCGCTTTCAGCGAAATTAAAAACAACATACATGCTTAATTACTTAACCGAAATTAAATCAATTAGCATGCTCGCGTTTAATCAAATAATCATGCTCGCAATAATAAAAACAATTTCATGTAGACACATAAAATCATACATGTTTTTTATTAAAACGAACATGCATATATTAACTTAAACGAAAACGAATCGAACGACAAAGGATTCGAAATTTTACCTCTTGAAGCGTGAGGTAGGCGCACTAAGCAAAGCTAGATTACCGCGGAAACCAATCCGTGCAATCCGGGGCAGCAACGGCGATGCAGCAGCGGCGATGATCCGAGCTACGGCGGCGCGTGTGGTTCATGCGCTGTCTTTGGGAGGCGCGTGCGTCATCGGCTCGGTGGCTGCTCCTCGATTCTTTGATTCTTCGATCTTCCTCCTCTCGGATTTCACCTTGTATACTTTGATCTACTAAAACGTGGCACTAGACACGCAATAGTTAGAATAAACGGAAAGAATAAAAGGAAAAAGATCTACCACAATTAACCGGCCAAGGGGAGGCCGATTCTGGCGACCGAACGGCGGTGTTGGCCGCGGGAAAGGAGAACGGCCGAGAGAGGGAGCGGCTAGGGTTAGGGTTTCGTGTGTTGTATGTGAAAGACCTATAAATCAAGTATTTATAGTGTCTTGCATAAAAGCCCTAACGGGCTTAAGTTGGACCGGGCCTAACAGCTTAAGTTCGTTAGCCTTTTATTCGCTCGTTTCTCTCAATTCAATGATCGGAAAATTGTAACGATTATATTTTCGGAATCATTATAATGTCCTCGTCATTACGAGTGCCAACTCTCGATTTCCAACTTTCCAAAAGTGGAAACTCTAATTCAGTGCACTTTCTAAATTTGGAAACTTCCCGATTTAGAAAGTCCATTAAGATGTTCGCCTATTCTTTTCCTTTTCTTAGTCTCATTCATAATTCCAAATTACGAATGTTGGACCCAATCATATTGACTTCCAATCATGCAAACATAAACCATTTTATCTCTGGCCGTTTATTCAAAGATCTCATGTGCACGAGCAGTGTGACCTTCGATGGTTCAGGTGTAAGCTAGCCGTGGGCCCAAAACCCTTTGTGGTCAAACCTCGTTCCTTAATTAGAGTTACGATTAAGATGAAGCTCGTTTCACCTTAATCACCGAACGAATCAAGATTGGCGTCTAGCAACTACGCGTCATGATTCTCTAGATACAAATGAAGTGCCTGCAAGAACCTTTTGATATAGTTAGCGTACAGTACGATCCCTTCGATTCATATGTCCCGATTGAACTAAGGCATTGGTTCATCGAGACCTCTTTATTTGTTCAATGACAGTGCGATTGTTCTAAGTGTTGTAATCGTCACGTGCATGACTTAAAGAATCGAATTCTCTAATCATCACTTAGTTAGCTCTGGCCAGAGACTTAGAGAGATTACAAACTATAAGAACACACAGGACATCCAAGACTATTCTAGCGATCGAATCCCCGACTACAATGCACAGACCTCCCACTAGATTTCGGACTGCGCGAACACTGGCCCTTGGGGCGGTCCTCGGTGGAACTCAGGGACAGTTCACGATACAGCTGGTCCTCTAGGGAAGTCACGGTGATGTCTAGGTCATAAGGACTAATGGTGTACAACTATACCATAGATATCTCTACTCGATTATTAAGAACCAATTAGAGATTTTTAGGGTGGGGGAGTTCAGTGAACTCGTCAACTTACGAGCACCTACTTATGCATGCCGATATCACATTACCGTTTACTGATGAGACGCGGTACACATACACTAAGTGCTAGTCTCTTAATGGGAAATGCCGATATCCTTATTGGTGGTGTAACCCTTCGACTAGGAACATGCTTAACAGTTATAATACTTAAGTAAATATCTCACGATCCTAACGATCAATTACTAGTACTTGTAATAACTGTAAGGACTATATCTATGCTTGTGACAAAGGGACAAAGATATAGAATGCCAAGGTGTTTTATCATTAATACGAAAAAAGGTTCGTTTATTACCATAATAAATACGAAAGATCACAGCCACATGTTAGCTTGTTGGTCACCTACTCTAACAATTGTATCCATCACTGGTGAATACGTCTCATCATAATCAATCCCAAGCCGTTGGGAGAAACCTTGAGCAACAAGGCGAGCTTTATATCGTACAATTTCGTTGTTCTCATTTCTCTGACGGACAAATACCCATTTATACCGAACGGGCTTTACATTATTCTGTGTTCGAACAGTTTGCCCGAATACTTTTCGTTTTTCTAGAGAAGCCAATTCAG